CTATTATTTCGCTGTGGTTTTTGATGTGCAAAAATTTGAAGTGTAGCTAAAAGATAGAGCGAAGTCAGGGCTACAAAATGGCTAATTGAGTTTTTCTTACGTCAAAAACATTAACACAAGAAAGCATTTTTAAGTTTAAGAAGTTTACTTTTTTTTCGACTTTCATCTAATTGGCTTAGTTTTCTTGATTGAAGTTCTGAAATTATAGTTTAGGTATGATCTTGTAGAGAATTTTGCAGCGCATCTTTTAAAAAAGACATCGAGTCTCGGAAACAAATTCAAACCGAGTTATAAGCAAAATACTGATAGGTCCATTCTTTATGGCCCACCCGTTAGTTATTAAAACGGAAAATTTGGAGAAAACGATCACTCGAAAATGATTTAGTTATTTGTATCGCTTTTTGTTTGTACTTCTGTGCCAGTGCACAGTTTTTACTTCAATGTGAAGATAAGTGCAGTTTCTGTGTCATATCTTGCTTTTATTTGTTTTCGTTGTACAGGTAGATAACAGTGTATATAGTATAATTTCACGTGCTCTTTTCTGTACTGCGATGATACTCAGAATCTGAGTCAATATATTTGTCTATTCTATTCTCAAAGTATACAACAGATATTTGTTTACTTATTTCATCAAGAAATTAAAACCAGAATATCTGATTAAATAGGATCGGATAGGGAAAGAACAGTGGCAAGATGATGGCGACAAACGAACGATTTGAGAGAAAATGCATTTATCTAGTAGATTCGGCCAACCGATAGGAACCCATGGGTTGGGTTTCAAACGACGCGACCCAGCCCATAACCCATGGGTCGAAATCAAGCAGACGCTCTATCGTCACCCACCCGTTGGGTTATGGGTTGAAAAAACCCCGGTCGGCGGCATCTCTGATCTCTATTAGTTGTTGATCAAACAAAGAAGACAAAAATACACATAAACACTAACTTTTATGAGTAGATTTAAAACTATTTATGAAACAGAGTATGAAAATTTGACCAAGTTTATTGGAAAAAGAATGAATCGAACTTATTCTTTGTAAGTGAACAGATTGGACTTTTATCGGGCAACTTACTATCAATCAAGGTGAACAGTAAAAAGGCATCCGGAGGATTTTCTCTTCGTTTGAGCGGACGATCTTTGATGTCTCTGTGTATGTCGAGACGAGATTGACAGTCGGAATGATCTCCAAATAAAGCCAACACTTTAGGGACATCTAGCTGTAGCCAAATAGAATTAAGGAGTTTCTTGCTACGATTGAAATGAAACAAATAGATGGAAAACGACAAAGGTCAACTGCATATCGTCTATTGGCTCTCTCTCAAATAACATTGTGTTTTCATAGGACTTTTTTCTGCCGTTACTGGCTTCTCTTGTCGCAAAAAACGGTTCTTCTCAGTTCTGCTTTTTGGAAAACCAGTTGTCTCTCTTTCCGAACTAGGTGTCCCTTGTTGCATATTTTCTCTACAGCAACCGTGGGAACATGTTTATGTTCACTTGGCTAAACAAAAAGGACTGCGTGGTTGTCCGAATCAAAACAAAATCGATATTTTCAAGAATTTGAACAAATAAACCTATCGTATCTGTCAAAGAGATGAAACCCTGATACTATGACTCGTTGTTCGTATGAGATGCTGCTCTGCTATTTACTGGTGAAGATTGATCATAAATTTATATCGATTTTACTATCCATACTTTTTTCTCGTTAAGTAAACCATGGTGCCGATGCAATAAAATAAGCAACCGATTGACCAAGAAGTATAAACAGAACTTGGCGATCACGTCTATGTTGTGCATCTTCTGTTAGATTTCTAATTTCTTGCTGTTGCACAACTATATGTGGGTGACACACGAGTAGGGTTGCCAACTCAGCAGGTCCAAAAAGCGGAAATAGCTTTCAGCGCAATCCCTTCGGGATTAAAATGTGAAACACGGTGGAGCCGATTTTTAAGTGTACATGAAGGTCCTCTGTATATTGATCATAATCCCTGACAAGGTTCAAGAAGCAGCATGTCGAAATGTCTATCACGGTCTATGACAAGGGTCAAAATACCGAATTTGAGTTAGATAGAGCTTCGATGACCGATTTCGTCCTTGCTTAAGGGACTCATCAGATGGCTTCAATGTTGGGTTGTCTGTAAGATTCGAAAATCAACACTAAGACAAACTACGCTGTTATTAAGAAGTCGAAACTTCAACGTAGTGGCAGTAATACAGAACATTGAAGCCATCTGTTGAGTCCCTTAAGGAAGGACGAAACCGGTCATGGCAGCTCTAACTTAGTAAAATATGAAATTTAAACTATTAGACAGCTTGAAACATACTGCGAAAATTTTTGAGCGCCACGATTTTGGGAACTTACGTTTGTTTTCCTATGTAAGATAATGTAGAGCTGAAGCTGCCTGATGATGATCCCTTGAGAAAGGATCGAAACTAGTCGTAGCTTCTAATACGTAATATTCATCCTCACTCTCACCCTCAAGCGTCGGTGATAACTAGTAATATGGCTGACTCGTAGATTTTTATTATGGAACCCGTTTTTGCTAGCCAATAGTCTCAAGTTAATTTTTTTATTCACCCAATAAAGTGTCGTTTTCGGCGTTATTATCTCTGATCGTTGCTTCGATGTTATGAACGAAGTATCTCAGAAGATTTATGTAGACCGGTCAGAGAGATGGGGATCGATAAATTGGTATTTAAATGACAGACATAAAAGCGCAAGCCAAGATTATGACTTACGTAGCCCGAGACAAGCATATGTTACGATCAACTGAATTTTGCCGTCGAACTGGGCGATGATCCGATCAGATTCAGTCCTTGTTCGGGTTTGCGCATTGAATTCGTTAATCATCGAACATACTGCAATAGTTTGCGTCGACAACTGGCCGAGCACGATTCCTGTCGAGCGGGCAAGCAAAAGGCGAAAGAAGATTTCATTAGACAAATCAGACGAGCAAACAAGTCGTTGACTGACCTAGAAGGTTTTTTCGGTGAACAAACATTTATTGAACTGTTGGATCTCGATAAGGCTCAACTCAGTATTCAATGAATAACCGATCGACAATGCGACATATTTCCGCTAGTCACTGGTGACTGGCGGCGTCGAAAATATTTTTATTTTGACTCACTGGCGTTTTCACCAAAACCACCATGTTCTAAGAAATATGCGGAAAGAATGCAAGCAAAAGATACATACAACAAGAAATAGCGCACCCAATGCTACGGCTTTGATTTGAACGGGCACATCGAATGGAACGGAATTCGTATCAATATTGAAGTTACAAATGAATGTTGACAAGAATTTTTATCAACTCACATTTGATCGTATATTTTTCAGCACTCGTAAAAGCTTGATTAACAACACCAGCGTACTCCTTGTTAATGCCGCCTACTTCGTTGCCATCGGGTCCATAGATCTAAGCAGATGAAGAAAATGTCAATTTTATTCCACTCGATAGTGAGCTAATGTCACTATTATTTCTACGTTTGTCGGACTCGGTCGACAAGAACGCCAGGCGGCGACTCTACTTGTACTTCATATGCACAACCCTCGGACGAAGCCCACCAATTACATCCCACACAATACTTGAATTCGTGCGTGATTCGAATGATTTCCTAGAATCAATTGTAGTGCATCAACACAGAAACCAAAACGTCAAGAGACTGTCTTACCTGATTAGCTAGATCATAGACTCTGAGTACAAAACTACGACCTGCACCGCAACATATACGCTGAGCAACAGCACGCTTATCTATACAAGGAAAATAAACCAAGCTGCTTCCAAGATGCGAACACAAAATTTAAAACAGCTCGGAAAACCAGCTGTCTAATAGTTTAAATTTCATATTTTACTAAGTTAGAGCTGCCATGACCGGTTTCGTCCTTCCTTAA